CCAGACTTACAGCTCATGAAACATACTAAACAACACCACAATGGAGGTCAAATCTCAGGGTATTTTGTCACAGTTTGTGATCATCATTGGAAAAATTTACTTTCCCAATTCCTAATGTGGAAAATACCTTCAATGGTAAACTTAAAGAAAAATCTTCACAAAAATGTCCAGTGGATTTTTTCTATAACTAGGTAACTACAGTTTGACCTTTGGTGCTTCGGTTGTTAAAGAGCACAGAATATGACAGGTGCTGGTGGCTCATGCCTATCATCCTAGCTATTCAGGAGGCTGGGATATGAGGATCATAGTTCAAAGCCAGCCTGGGCAGGAAAGTCAGTGAGACTCTTATCTTCCAAAAAGCCAAAAGTGGTGGAGTGCTAGCCTTGAGTATAAAAGGTAAAGGACAGCATCCAGTCCCTGAGTTCAAGCACCTAGACAGGCACCAAAAAAAAAAAAATGAAAGAAAGAAAAGAATAAAGGAAAGAAAGAAAGAAAGAAAAGAATAAAGGAAAGAAAGAAAAGAATAAAGGAAAGAAAGGAAGGAAGGAAGGAAAGAAGGAAGGAAAGAAGGAAGGAAAAGAAAGAGAGAGAAAGAAAAGGAAGGAAGGAAGGAAAGAAGGAAGGAAGGAAGGAGGAGAGAAAGAGTTGTAGCCATTTTTGGTTTTTGTTGCTGTTGTTGTTGGGTACAAAGTGAATCTTTACAATCTATGTACTCAAGGTTGTTTTGTTTTGTTGTTGTTTTTCCAGTCCTGGGGCTTGAATTCAGGGCCTGGGCACTGTTCCTGAGCTGCTACTTTTTTTTTTTTTGCCAGTCCTGGGGTTTGAACTCAGAGCCTGGGCACTGTCATTGAGCTTCTTTTTCTCAAGGCTAGCATTCTATCACTTGAGCCACAGCACCACTTCCAGCTTTTTCTGCTTACGTGGTACTGAGGAATCAAACTCAGGGCTTCATGCATGCTAGGCAAGCACTCTACCACTGAGCCACATTCCCAGCACTCCCTGAGCTTCTTTTGCTCAAGACTGGCACTCTACCACTTGAGCCACAGCTCCACTTCTGGTTTTTTCTATTTATGTGGTGCTGAGGAATCGAACCCAGGCTTCATGCATGCAAGGCAAGCACTCTACCACTGAGCCACCTTCCCAGTCTATATTCAAGTTTTCCTTCAGCAATTCACCTTAAGGAAACTGATTATGTGTGACCTTAAAAACACTGATTATGTGTGAAATGGTAACTGCTCTGTACAGCACCTTAATGATAATAAATTATATTTTAATAAAAATAGTATGCTCCCCCTTAGTAACTCTCCTCCTTTTTACCTATTTTAATATCTTATTTAAAATAGGTGTTTACATTTTTAGTTAGCTACTAGACTTTATTTTGTAGGTAAATGTTTGGCCATGTCTACCCTTTATTTTTATTTTTTTACTAAATTTATTATTCTGTCAGATAACTTTTAATTTTAAAAACTTCTCTTACTCTGTAAATATTCCTTTAAAAATTTTTAGGAAATATCTGGGAGTTGATTCTTTGAAAAGATAAATGACATTGATAACCTGTTAGCCCAATAGACCAAAAGAAAGACCCAAACTAATGAAATTAGAAATGAAAAAGAGGATATTACAGCAATACCAAGGAAATTCAGAAGATCATTAGGGAATATGTTGAAAGCATGTATTCTAATGAACTGGAACATCTAGCAGAAATAGATACATTTCTAGATACATTTGACCCACAAAATTGAATCAAGAAGATATAAACCAGTCAAGCCAATCCATAAAAAGAAATGAGGTCAGAACAGTTATAAAGAGATTCCAAAACAAAGAAGAGCCTAGGACTGGATGGATTTGTGTCCAAATTCTATCAAACCTTTGAAGAAGACCCAATGCTACTCCTCTACAATCTATTCCGAGGAACAGAAAGGAGGTAATGTTTTCAAACACCCTAATACTAAAACACAATAAGGATATAACAACCAAGAAAATTATAGGCCAATTTCTTTGACAAAGATAGATGAAAAAAATCTTAATAAAATACTGGCACCCCAAATTCAATAATATACTGAAAAGAATATCCCTGTAATCAAGTTGGTTTTATCCCAGGGATGCTAGGATGGCCCAATACACTCATCATAAGTAAATCAAGAAACATAAGACATCATATAAATAGACTCAAGTACAAAAATCACATGATTTTCTCAATGCAGGAAAGGCCTTTGGCAAAATTCAACATCTTTTCATAGTGAAAATTCTAAAGAAACTAGCAATGGAAGGAGCAGACCTCAACATAATAAAAAGGTATATAGGAAAATTTTATGGTCAACATCATGGTAAATAGGAAGCAATGATGGCCACTTTTTCAACTCTTATTCCACATAGTTGTGAAATTCTTAGCCAGAGCAATAAAGCAAGAGAAGGAAATAAAAAATAATTCAGAGAGGAAAGAAAGAAGACAATTTATCCCTGTTTACAGACAATATGATCCTATACTTAAATGTTTTAATAATCTTACCAGTAAGGGGCATTATGGGACTGTAATAGAAGGGTTGAATTTGTCCAAAGTTCACTATTCCCATCTACAGAATTATCACAATAAAACAAACCCCTTGTACTATTATGTAAGCTAGGAAAAAACATTTTGTTTTCAAAAATGGCCTATTTATCCATACTATTCCTTATATCTGTCTGGAGATATTAATTTTTAAAACTGAGTGGTATATTCTGTTCCTTCCATTATCTCCATTTCCTTTTGAGTTAATTATGCTTATCAAACTTAGTCTGTTTTGAGCTGGGAAGGTGTCTCAGTGGTAGAGCACTTGCCTTGCATGCATGAGGCCCTGGCTTTGATTCCTCAGCACCACATAAGCAGAAAAAGAGAAAAAAAAGCCGCAAGTGGCCCTGTGGCTCAAGTGGTAGAGCTCTAGCCTTGAGCTGAAGAGCCTAGAGTTCAGGCTCTCAACTGGACCCCCCCCAAAAAAAAACACACCTTAGTCTGTTTTATACTACTTATGTTTCTTAAATATTTAGTATTTGTTGAATGTTTTTGAATAACAGACTAAGCTGCTAGTTGATAAACCTGCTAAGAATTATGCTTCAAGCTAAGCACACCTATCTTTGCATTAGAGGCTTATAATGCTTCTTAAACAGTGTCATTTAAATTTAACGTTTAAACTTTTTTCTTTATATTTTAATAAGAATAACAATATATGTGCTTCTGACACATCTTTTTTTGCTTAATATATGAGATTTATCATGTTGATGAATATATTGCTTAAATGATTCCTTTTTATTTATGAATTATAGGATACAGTATATGAATAAACTATTCAACCTTTTGTCCATTTTCTCCTAGGTGAACATTTGAGATCTAAAATATTTTATGTGATAAAAAGAGTTCCATTAGGCTGGGAAGGTGGCTCAGTGGTAGAGTGCTTGCCTTGCATGCCTGAGGCCCTGGGTTCAATTCCTCAGCACCACATAAGCAAAAAGAAAAAAAGCTGGAAGTAGCGCTGTGGCTCAAGTGGTAGAGCGCTAGCCTTGAGCTGAAGAGCTGAGGGACAGCGCCCAGGCCCAGAGTTCAGGCCCCACGACCGGACCCCCCCCAAAAAAAAGAGTTCCATTAATGTTTTCATAAACAAAAGTATCTACTTCTGGCATATGCCATATCTCACTTTTTACATTTAGGATAACATCTAGAGTTATGTAGATATAGCTTTAGCAATAAAGATTTCCAAGAGAAATCTAAACATAAAAAATGTTAAGTCAAGATTAAAGAAGCAGGCTAGTTTTGAGGGCACAGATCTGTCATCCACCTACTTGGGAGGCTGAGGTGAGAGAATCACAAGTTTGAGGTTGTGTGGGCTATGTAGTAAGTTCAAGGCCAACCTAGAAAATAAACAGACAGAAAGGGAAAGAAAGAAACAAGGAAAGAGAGGGAGAAGGAAAGAAGGGAGGAAGGAAGGAAGGGAGGAAGAAATAAAGGAAGGAAGGAAGGAAGGAAAGCAAGCAAGCAAGAAAGAAAGAAAGAGAAAGGAAGGAAGGAAGGGAAGGGAGGGAAAAGGAAAGGAGGAAAAAAGGAAGGAAGGAGGAAAAGGAAGGAAGGAGACAGAATGAGAGGGAAAGAGAGAGAGAGAAAAGAAAGAAAGAAAGAAGGAAGGAAGAAAGAAAGAAAGAAAGAGAAAGGAAGGAAGGAAGGAAGGAAGGAAGGAAGGAAGGAAGGAAGGAAGGAAGGAAGGAAAAGTATGAAAGAAGAAAGGAAGGAGCATGGACATGGGACATGGAAGGGATAGTTCATGGTTGGTTCACAGATGGTAATACTGGCTACTTGGGAAACCTAAGATTTTAGCCAAAAGCTGCATGATTACACTTCAAGCCCAGCCTAGGCAGAAAAGTTCAAGAGACTATCTAAAAAAATAACCAGAAGAAAACATTGCTGGAGATATGGGATCAGGTGGTAGAGCTCAGTCTAACAAGCATAAGTCCTGGAGTTTGAACCTCAGTAACATCTAGATAGATAGATAGATAGATAGATAGATAGATAGATAGATAGATAGATAGATAGATAGATAGATAGATAGATAGATAGATAGATAGATAGATATAGATAGATAGATAGATTAGATAGATAGATAGATGGATGGATGGATAGATAGATAGATAGATAGATAGATAGATAGATAGTAGATAGATAGATAAGATAGATGATGGATAGATAGATGGATGGATAGATAGATGGATAGATAGATGGATGGATAGATAGATGGATAGATAGATAGATGGATAGATGATAGATAGATAGATAGATAGATAGATAGATAGATAGATAGATAGATAGATAGATAGATAGATAGATAGATAGATAGGCAGATAAAAATTTGACATTAACATTGTTTTACATTTTCTTCCACCAGGTCAATCTGACCAAAATACATCAAATACTAGTAACCTAAAGTGAAATGTTAGAGGTTCTAGAAGAGAATGGTTTGCAGTCTCTTCCTTCCTACCTTTGCATTTTGGATGCAGGGACACAGTGCCCATGCTGCAGAGGCCTTGACATCTGGGTGTGGATTTTTCAACAAGGACCACAGCAAACGAACTCCATCTAAACGATCAATTATTCTGTGGTGAAGGCAAAACAGAAGTGATACAAATGATCATTCTTAAGTCAAATGAAAATTTAAATAGCTTACATACCTATTACATAATTCCAATTCATTTTCTTCTTTAGATTTTTTTGTGCTTTTTGTGTGTTTTATTGTATGCTTTTGCTGTTTTGATAGGTATGTTTTTTGTAAAACTTTGAGGAGAACAGAACTAATACCACAGTGTCAAATCTCCAGACCTCAGATTTCACTTTAGAATTTTCATGATAAAGAAAGCAAGCTACAGGGTAATTAACAGTTCCCCTCGACTGAAAATCAGGCCCCATAACTTTTTAATTAGCTGTACACAGTTACCTAAATGTTTAAAAAAAGAAAGAAAAAGAAATACTGGTTTCTTTCCTATTAATAACATCTAAATACTTTCCAGAACAAATATTTATGCCTCAAATCTGTGCAGTGACCTATATTTAAATAATTTTTGTCTATATTTGAGTTACCTTACTATAAGGCATATTTTAAACTCCTTCAGTGCTAATTTAGCATTAGGAATTAAAATCATTACACCACAGTGAATGTGCTGTTGGGCACAAATAAAACTTGTTTTCTGCAAGCTCCCTTCCGAGCAAGCCTAACACTGCAGACTATGTGGTAATTACCTAAGCATACTGTAATCAAAATAACTTCATGACTAGCTGAAAAGTGAATATTGTCAGAGAAATCACTGCAACATCTGTCATCTGTTTATATACCCAGGTGGTAACACAACTTTGTAGTGCGGCCCATGGAGTACTTGAAGCAAAGGCAGCAGAACAAAACTTAATATCCACAAATGTGGCTTTGTTGCAGACACAGATATTAAACTCTAAGCAGATTAGGGGAGAAAAAAAGATAAAGAACACCCAAATTCCATTGACTTTTCCTCTCCAATTGCATTAGGTACATGCAGCAATTCTCCATGGGTAGAAAAAAATTTGACCAGCCTAAACGCCATTCAAACTCGTCCTTGAAAATTGAAATTTAGGCATTGTGAGGTACATGTCATGGTCTCCGAGTCTCCTGTCAGCAAGCACCAGCTTCACAAAGTGACCAGCACAAAAAGACAAAGATTCCCTGTATTGCCCAAGGAAAGAGGCACTATGATCGGAAGCAGAGTGGCTATGGTGGGCAGACCAAGCCAATATTCCAAACGAAAGCTGAAAGCCACCAAGAAGATTGTGCTGAGGCTAAAATGTGTTGAACCTAACTGTAAATCCAAGAGGATGCTGGTCATTAAGCATTTTGAACTGGGAGGAGACAAGAAGAAAAAGGGCCAAGTGATTTAGTTCTAAACTTTTGATTTTTTTGGTTTTAATTTTGAGGGAAAGATTTTGAAGCTATAGAATTACCTGGTGGAAAACTAATACATGACAGAAAATACTGCCCCCCAACAAAAAAAAAAAAAAGAAAAGAAGAAGAAAATTGGAATTTAAGCCAGGAGCTGGTGGCTCACTCCTGTAATCCTAGCTACTCAGGAAATTGAGATCTAGCAATCACTGTTTGAAAGCTTAGGCAGAAAAGTCTTTACCAAAAATGCCAGAAGTAGAGCTGTGGCTTAGGAGGTAGAGTTCTAGCCTTGACTGAAAAAAAAAAGCTCAGTGACAGCACCCAGGCCCTGAAATCAAGCCCCAGGACCAACCCTAGAAAGAAAATTGACATTTAAAAATAATCTATTTTCGGGCTGGGAAGGTGGCTCAGTGGCAGAGTGCTTGCCTTGCATGCCTGAGGCCCGGGGTTCGATTCCTCAGCACCACATAAGCAAAAAGAAAAAAGCCGCAAGTGGCCCTGTGGCTCAAGTGGTAGAGTGCTAGCCTTGAGCTGAAGAGCTGAGGGACAGCACCCAGGCCCAGAGTTCAGGCCCCACGACCAGACCCCCCCAAAAAAATCTATTTTCCTGGTTACCTGAGATGAGTTTGCCAAGAAAAAAAGGTATTATTTCAAAGGCTTCAAGTTGGATATCAGCTTGGAATAAATTTGTGCAGTGGATGATGTAAATAGTAAAAATTATTTCTAATAAGAAGAAAGGTACCTCAAGAAATTATTTGGGGGTGGCACCAATCAAGATGCATTGTATTTGTAAACCATTCTCTTAAATGGAAACTCCTTTGTACAACTTGTTAAAGATAATAAAACTTTTTTAAAGTAAGTATTTGAAGCCCAAGTTTAAACACTTTTTATGCTTATGGCTTCCTATCAGTATCATGTTGTGAGAAAACAAAGTATTAGATATCACTGTATAGAAACTGTAAGTATTCTAAATGCTTCAGGAAGAAATTTCTTTCTTCTTTCATCCTTTTCTTTCTTTCCATCCTTTTCTTTCTTTCCATTCTTTTTTCCTTCTTTCTTTCCTTTCTTTGTTTCTTTCTTTCTTCCTTCCTTCCTTCCTTTCTTTCTTCCTTTCTTTTTCTATGTGTGTGGGGGGGGGCTTGAACTCAGGGCCTATGCTCTATCCCTTAGCTTTTTTTTGTTCAAGGCTAGAAACCCACCACTGAGCCACTGCTCTGTCTTTTTGGTGGTTTATTGGAGATAGGAGTCTCACAGATACTCTAGCCCAGGTTGGCTTTGAACTTCTGCTTCCTGGGTAGCTAGGATTGCAGGCATGAGCCACTAGCACCAGCTTAGTATGCTTTTTAAAAAGTTTAAAGTAATGAAAACAAAAGAAGATACCAATAATTGACGCCCAAATGGTGCTCTACTCAAACCAGTTGTCTACCAGGCTTGATCAAGAGAAGCACCAGCAGTGTCTGAGGTAATGAAAATGTTCTAATTCTCAGCATGATGACAGATAAAGAAGTCCCTCACTCCTAGCAAGTTACCAGTATGTTCACTTACATTATATGTATGGATTATATCTTAGAAATTCAAAGCTTAGTATTGCTTTGGGTTCACTTTAAAACCCACATCTTGTCTCACACAGCAAATAACATTCTACAAGCTCATTTATTCAGCTCTCAAATCAAGCACATATTGCATTTGGCCAGCTAAGATATGTTATGTGATTAATTAAAATCTACATAATGCTCAAAGAAGAAATGCCCAGTGTTTGTTTTTGTTGTTCTTTTTTTAAATTGAGATCTAGAAGATTAAGCAATTCAATTACTTTTCACTTTGCAGTTTTACATCTCAGTTAAAACTACATGTCTTAAATATATGCAGGAAAGCAAATAAGGAGGAACAATGTTATTCTACAAACATGTTAAACATATATTTTGTATCCTGTATAAACCCTGTATAAACACTAGTTCTGTGGCAAAAGGAATATCTGGGAAGCCACAGAGGCTAAATCCCTTCCATATACAACATAGCTTTACTTCTCTTCCTTTTTAGAAAGAACAAATAAACCCTATGTAAAACATCTTTTAAAAACTATATAAATGCAGCATAATTATGTTTGAGCCACAAAAGACAGGCAATTGGGAGTTACAGATCCCATAGTAAGTTTTTATTTGTCCTGGTGTGTCTAATTTGTAGAAGAGCCTTTCATTACATGATCACATAACACTGGACCATGTAACAATCAGTTCAACAAACATTTATTTTACAGTGTGTGGAAGGAAAATATTTTATTGCATATATTGTGGGCAATTAGTGTACCATTTAAGTAAATGGTTGCATAAAATTTCCTAGATTCCTGGGAATTTCCAAATATTAATAAAAGCATACTGCACAATTCTCTTCTAAAGCACATAAAATTGAACATTTTTATAGAAAATATGTTTGAAAGTTGACCTTTCTATCTGAAGGTTATTTTTATAAAACAGAGAATTTATAGCATTAGGATTTCAGTATGTTTTAAGTTGTGTATACAGCCTTTGTGTAAAAGAACATTGGTTGCTCATACCTGTAATCCTAGTTACTTGGGAGGCAGAGATTCAAACCAAATGATTGAAACCAAACCAGGCAGTCAAATCCATCAGACTTATTTCTAATCACCAAAAAGCCGAAGTAGAGGTGTGGTTCAAGTGGTAGACGCCAGCTTTGAGTGAAAAAGTTAAGGGACAGAGCCTAGGCCTTGAGTTCAAGCACACTATTGGGGCACACAGGCATGCGCACACATACATTACAAAAGAACACTGGAGATTAAATAAATCGTGAAGGTCCATGAGTTCATAACACTTTTTAAATAAAAGCATTCATCACTATTGGGTCTTTAACAAGTGATATATTTGAAAATTGATTTTTTAAGCCCGTGAAGGAAGAAAAACACATCAATCTGACTTTTTTATATTACCTATATTTTAGAATCACCAAGATTGAAATATCACAGCTATCAGTTCTGTGACAAACATTGTAAAGTGATTAGATTATAGAAATTAAATCCCTTAATACCTCAGACAAAAAGATCATATAACCTACAGAGAAAAAAATTAAATTAGAGAGTATTTTTTAAAATATTATGAAGCAGGCAATACTGGAGCAGCAGGGTGTGTGTGTGTGTGTGTGTGTGTGTGTGTGTGTGTGTGTGTGTGTGTGTGTGTGTGTGTGTGTGTGTGTGCTGGTCTCAGGCTTTTACTCAGGGACTGTGTTCCCCTCCTGACTCTGTGGTGGTTAGTTGAAGATAAAAGTCTCACAGGCTTTCCTGCCCAGACTAGCTTTGAACTGCAATGTTCATGCACAAACTCCCGAGTAGCTAGGCTTGTAGTGGTAAGCCACAGACACCTGGCCTAGAGCAATGTTTTTTTGTTTGTTTGTGTTTGGTTTTTGTTTTTTTAACACAGTGAAATAAAGTTAAAATCAGCAATATTACAGCTACCTAGGCTGTCCTCCAGGTATGTGTGGAAAATGGCCTCAACCTATAAGAACTTCCTTTCATGAATGAGCCACAAACCATTAAACTTGATAATTATACACATATATACATCCATGCACATATATATATATATCACTGATACACATGTACACATAGACACACATACACACACATACATACACATATGTCATTGTTGATCTAAGATTAAAAGGCAGGGCATTAGGTGGAGC